GCATCTATTGCATAAGCTACATGCTTTTCTGCTATGTACACTTCTATTAGAGCATCCCCTGTGCAGTAGGGACTAGAGATAAGACTGCTTACTATTAGATTATAATAGCAGACTTAATTACTGCAGTAAATAAGAATAAATACATTAAGCTCTATGCTAAACTTTAAAGTATAACCTTTTTATAAGCTTACTTTTACTATCTAATAGTAATTTAACAGCAGATAACACTCTACTTAGTATTACTTGCTAGGCAAAGCATAAGGAGCACTTAGTAATTAAAGTAGGCATTAATAACGCTTACTCTCTCTTTCTAATTACCTTTATAAAGGCTTTATAATATTATACTAATGCAGTAGAACAGACAGGCTTAAAGTTAAACTTATATAGCAAGTAACTTTATTTTCTACTAGCTATCTTTAGGTACGTTCTCTAATTGCTTTTAATACACCTTATATACGCTGCTAATAACACTGTAGTGCTATAGCACTTAACACTTATAATTCTTTACAATATTAGGCTTAATTAATCTTTAGTATTTTCTATACTAATAAGAATACTTCTAGTGCTGCTTATTAGTATAATTTTGTAGTCTATAAAAGTTCTACTCCTTTTATATTAAGTTTTAAAGTAATTATAGTCTAATTTATAGTAGATACTTTACAACATTAAATGCTTAATAAAGTAGATATAATTAATCTTACCTAAGATAATAATATTATCTTTACTGTAGATACTACTAGGTATCTTTGTTATAACCCTACTATATTAACTCTCTAGGGTTAAAAGAAGCAGTTAAACTCCTCTATATTATCTACTTCTTCTTCTAAAGTTACAAAGAGCCTCTTAAAGAAACAGTATACTGTCTAGCTCTTATTTAATTAACGTTTACAACTAATTTACTCTTGCAATAGCTTTACTGCATCTTTAAAAGTTACACTAGCAGCACTAAAGTATGCGCTTTGCCTTATATACTTATAATAGCTTTTCTAATGTAATAAGTTCTTCTCTGTTAACAGATACAGATGTTGCTTAGTAAAAAAGAATTATTGCTCTCTTAGTGTAAGAGGTGGACCTATGTTAGCAACTTTAAGATCTCTTATAAGGAGAAAGTTAGGCATTATTAAGCAAGGACTAGCAGTAGATAGGTAAATGTTACTCTTAATAGTGCTTTAACAGTGTTGCATTAGTGTTTAGCAGAAGCAAGACAGGTGCAGGACTAGTCCTAGACTTAATAATTATAAAAGGTTGTGTAATATTTAATTTAAAACTAGATAGGGAGCTTTTGTACACTAACTCTGGTTGTTCTTGGGCCGAGATGCACCAGTCACGACTTAAGCAGGGGGCATCGGAGTTCGTCGGGCTGGTGCAATGCCGAGCCTGTAAGGCCGGGATGGCGCTTACGTGTAAGGCCGAGATGGTGCTTACGTGCGACGGGTATATATACTATTCTGTACGCAATAATCAACTGTTGGTTGATTATTCGCACATTTTGGTTGTATTGGCGGAGTGGTGCGGAGCCCCGTCCTTACATAATAATCAACCAACGTTGATTTTCGGGTGCAGAATAGTATATATACCTGTCGCACGTAAGCACCATCTCGGCCTTACAGAGCCTCCGATGGTGCACCTTTGGCGTTTTATCTTGGATCCATGAATCAATCCAGCGCTAAGGCTAAATAGGCAACTATTCTAAACAATTAGTCTTTTACTTAATTTTTTGTGCTATTATACTCTTAATAGGTTATATAACAAACATTTAATAAAAATTTAGCTTAAGATAATAAAATTCTATTTACAATAAAAGCAGTTAATAGCTTAAAATCTAAACAATAAAAGGAAAAATGTATATTAAGCCCTACCTTATACAACAAGCATTACAAAAAGTATCTTCTTTTTATCTTATTATACAAAAACATAGACATTGCAATTTAAAACGCAAAAAAGAAAAAGAAAAATAGCTAGAAGCAGCATAGCGCTAATAGCTGCAAAAGATGCATCTAGGTTTTTCCTGCTGCCTCTAACCTAAACGTACAAGCAGCTCTAGGAGTTGTAGCGCATACTGTAAGTTACTCCCCCTATTATATAATAAGCTAACAATTTTAGATCTAGCAGAAACAGGTTCTCTCTGCACCCTATAATAATGTTAAATACTATAGCAGCACCTTTTATGCCTTTTAATTAAATACCTACTGCTTATTATACATTAATGTAGTGTTAATTTAGACTTATAGTACTATTAATATAAAACTTCACTATATGCTTTTTATCTTACATGTTGTACAATAACTAACTTACATAGTAGAGTGTACTAGCTATTCTTACTGTAGTTTATTTTTAGAGTGTGTTTTACTTTTGTCTAAGTAGGCAGCTACTTGCGCTAATTATAAATTTAAAGATTAAGCTGCTTATTATAGTTACTATAATAGCTCTTAACCTAATTAGTATTGTCTAACACCTAATAATAGTATAGGTCCTCTAGCAACTTTGTCTTTTAGTGTAAACAACATTATTATAGATTACCTATACAAGATTAAGAAGCTAGAGAGTAATAATAAAAATAAGTGCTAGAATATTATATAATAAATTACTTAGAATTAACAGTCTTTTTATAAGTAAAGAATAAAATAAAAAATAAAGATTTTTACTTTTTTAAATAGTTTACTTATTTTTAACTTAACTAGTAATTTAAAGATTTAATTACTTTAATAATATTAAGATTTAATAATGCTTAAGTCTAACAGATTATATAACATGCTCTAGAGAAAATACATTCTAGTTTATTACTTATAAGTAGTATTAAGTAAATCTTAAGTACAAGATAAGTAAAAAAGGGCTACTAAGATTATTATATGTTATCCTACTACTATTTTAACACATCTTTAACCCCCTTTGTTGCTAGCTCTTCTGTATACTCTGTCTACTTATCTAGATTCTCTACTAAAGCCTAATTACTAAAAATTTACTTAGTTATAGCTTTAATTAAATAATTCTAGCCTTTATAAATAATCTATGCTGTTATATAATAAGTAGCCTGTTATCTTCTTTACTCTTACACTTTACTTTAAAAAGATGTTTATAATAACTTTTAATGTTTAGATTAAAAATTAAGCTAAAATTATTTTAGCTAAGCTTTCTATACTTTTTAGTCTTTAGTAAAAAACTTTAAGGCAAGCATTACCTTATTAGCCTAGTTTATATAATAATAAAAATGCAAAACTATTATAATTTAGTAAAAAAAATGCTTTTAAAGTAAGTTCTACTATTGTTACTATACTATAAGTGCCTAAGTAGCTTATACAACATAATTTTTATTAAATTATATATTTTCTTTCTTATGTTTTGCTAGAAAAGCTATTATGTAAGTCTGTAAAATCTATAGAGAAGAAAGAGCCTATTTAAGGCATTTTGCGTCTTCTTTATTTTAAAAAATTACATTCTTAAAAATTTATAAAAATGTTTTTATTATATAAAGCATTTTTTAATTCTTTATTTTTAAAGTATTATGTTTAAAATTAGGTTAGTTTTTAATATAAAAATCTACATGCATTTTAAGCTTAATTACTGTATTAATTATGTAATACTAGCTGTTTTATCTTATATAATTATCTAAGGGTATTATCTGTCTAGCTTGTAAGATAAACTTATTTATACAAAGCTCTAAACTATAAATATAGACTATAATATTATAAAGTTTACTAAGAGGACTAATAGCTCTAATTATATCTTATTATATAAAATTAAGGGGTAATCTATTTGCTTTTTTAAGGTTTACAGCTTTAAGATCTTTAAGATAACTTTTATATAAACTTAAAAATAAAAATACTTATATAATAAAATTAATAATATAACTAAAATAGTAAACTTTTTTATTCTTAGAATCTTAATGCAGATTAAGTTTGTTAGAATACTACTTACTAATTATATAATAGAGAGTGTTATTAGTGCTAGCATTATCTCTAACAACTGCTCCTAGATTTCTAGTAATTTTGTACTCCTTAAGTACTATATAAAGTACAGAGAACTATTCTTTACTAGAATAGCCTAAGACTAGTTATAAAAAAAAGTGTTTAGTAATAGTATTATTTAAGCTTTATATAAAGTGTCTAGTAATTATAATAAATAAAATTTAGTTTAAAAAGGTCTAAAGATTAAGCATAACATTAATTTTTAAAGTTGCTGTTTAAATCTTACGCTAAAGAATAAGCTTCTTTTTATACTAATAGCTTTAAATTACTATATAAATAGTAGAGTGTAAAACTAGAATAGCCTTTCTAGCAATAAAATTTAATGCTTATATAAAAGCTTAAAAAGATAATAATTTAATAACTAAGAAAGTAAAACACTATTAAATAATTAGTTATATAAAAGCCTTTTAAATAATATCTTTGTCTAGATAAGCTCTAAACGCAGCATTCTATATATCTTCTCCTATGTAAAGTTCTGCGCAGTCTTATAGCTCTTAGAGTTTAATAGCACCTGCTTATTATACAAAAGAAAGAGTACCCTTTACTAAAACTTAGTAGTTAGATTTTAAGTGCTTTTAAAAGTTTATAATAACTTTTAAAGTGTAGTTATAATTATAGAAATTGCAGTATTAAAGAAGCCAGCTGTTTTGTTTAGTAGGTTTATTAGACATTAGTAGTTATACAAAGTTTCTAATGTTACTACCCTTATTGTTAGGCACTAGAGTTAAGCTTAATTTATAGGATTCTATTATACAAGACTTTTAAAGTTGTTTTATTAATAGGGAAGCAAATTTTTAGCTAAGACTATAAATTAATTTAAGGATCTAATCCAGATTCAGGATAGCGTGGATTCGGATCGATCCACGAATCGGATCGATCTATCGCCAGCACTGACTGGGATCAGAGGTTGAAGAAGAAGAGCCAGAATTTGCGCATCTTGTTGCATTGGAGAGCTTCTTTCGCCAATCTGTTCCGTTTCAATCATTGTTAAACGACTTTTGTAAGCTACTACTTCCATATCGACTCAGACGTATTATGTCTTCTCTATCGAGAAACCAGGCTTGGATCTCGAGATCTCAGAATAATTCACTGGTCAATTTGATGAAAGCCGCGGTAGAGGACTTTACCAACTTGGGATGGGACTGGTGGCCTTTAGCGGCCAGAATGCGTCGACTCCGAGGCGAAGAAGCCCGGCTCTTTTGGAGATGTGTAAGCTAAATTCTTGGACCTCGGGCTACGAGCTAACATAGTCAGACCTGTGGGGCCCTCATGTGGTTTGAGATGTCTGAGAGCGAAGCCGATATCGTCTCCCAGATTATCCTCTTTTTAGACGAAACGCCTCAGATTCCTTCACGCTGCCGGGCGTGGAGCAGCAAGGCCTTCAGAACTGTTTGAAAAGGCTTTTCTGGTCGGCTGTACCAACATCGAGTGCCAGTCAGAAATATACTCCTGCTGGGGCGTCGACCTCGGCGTCTTCGACCGGCGCCACATTACAGTCTGCTGCTAGCCGCTTGCCTCCCTTTCCCAATACTCAACTACCTCCAAATGTAAGCGGCGTTGGCTCCAGTCCGTCTCCAACTCCGGCTGCTACCGCCCAGCAAGCACCCTCGATGTTTCGCTTCTGGGTTTTGCTAGGGGTCGAAGGTTCACGCCACTCCGTCCGAATCAATCACATTGCCATCGATCATAATACAAACGACGGTAGCTTCTATCGTTCGCTGAAGGAATGCTATAGGAGAAGTAGAGGACCAATGTGTTATTGGCTTTCGATGTGGAGGCTACACTATTGCAATGTGGTGAAGGTTAGCCAGCGAAGCTCCGATTTCCCTCAAGATCATCCACTGATATCTCTTCAAGTTCAAGCGGGTTGCACCCCGATGGGTCATCACAGAACGTAAAGACTTGCCAACGAGTCTGGAGTACAAATACGCACCACGACCTCCACACGCCGAAAATCCTCCCATACCCCAACACGAATTTGATATGCATCTTCATGCATGCGTCCAGCCATGCATCTGGTCTAGGTTCCATGACTGTATGCCGGAACTCAACACCACTATTGTCCTGGAAAGTATACCCAAGAAAGTCAGTCAATTCGACGTCGACTCCGACCAGGTGGTAGATGCTTATGCATGGGGACTTGAGGCAAAGTACGCTGTATCTGCCATGTATGTGGCTATCTACCATCTCATTATATTTGCGTTCCCTTTTGGGTTCTGGGCATGGTGGCTGCATGGGCATCCCAACGATCTCCAAGGAGCTTCCGTTCCCGCCACCATCGCCCTTGGGCTCCTCTCTCTCTTTTGGAGCACCAACGGTATTCTGACTGAGGGACGTCACGCCCGCTAATGTCAGTTCTCGAGGTATTCTCCAATTTCTGGAGACGGGGAAAGGGGGTCAGCATCCTAAGGTAGTCGCAACACCTGCCCACTGGAACTCAGCGTTGTGGCCGGGTTTGAAACTCGACTGCTCTTTGCCATAAGTAGTTGAAGCAGGATCGTATTGGTAACATTGAGGAATCTCCTGCAATGCTTACTTCAGAACAAATCGCTACCTGTCAAGTACTACTCCTCGCCTTTGTGGTGGACGATAAAGCTGCCGGCGATGCTTAGTACCGCAAATCTTGTCGCACGTGTCTCACGCGATACTATTCACTCATTAGGACTAGATCCTTTCTTGTACAGTATATAGTCAGCGCAGAGCTCTCTCTCGCTCATTAGACCTTACAATACACTGGTACAATTCACCTTGTTTGGATCTCAATACCTTGTCGACTCGCTTACCTTATGACCCCTTCTCAGCTCATGCAAGAAATCCGGCTCAAGACATATTTGTGACCAGAGCTTCTTTAGAGAAGGCGACGAGAGCGATAGTTTCGCGCTTCTTTTGCCAAACTCTTTAAGTGTGTCTGACACTCTACTATCAGCTCAGCCGAAATCTGTCTCATGCTAGACTCTGTAGTATGCGGTATCTGCATTTCACTTCTTTGGGTGACCGGTGAACACAGATGACAAGCGAAGCATGCGGGTGGCATGATGCGGTATCCTCACATCGTGGCGGTGGCGGGGTTTCCTTGGCTCACTTCCTGAGAACGCCTCATCGGGCTCGGAGTGCCATGCCTTTAACTTACAGTCTAGATCAGGTGTATTAAGTTCCAGGGAAGTTTCGCTTCTAATTGTACCGGGAATTGCAAAAGACAATTTTAGGTAGCTTTTGAGGAACACTACCCAGGCGCGCTGGATACAAATTAACAAAAGCTACTTCGTACCGAGTATGAGTTTTCGTTGGCGTGCTGGGACACTTCGAGCAGAGCTACGGCGGACTGTTAGCTGGTAAAGGGAAAAAACTAATTGCTAATTGCTTAGAAGCAGTTTAAATATAAAACACTATAGTATTTTACTAGGCAAAACATACTATAACGCATTTATATAATGTTTTTTAGAGATCTAAAAAGTAAAAGGTTATTTTATGTAACTATATTATAACTACTTTTTATAGCAACTGCCTTTACTACAGGGTTGTACAACAATTGTAGATCCTTACTGCTACTACTACTCTTCTACATCTACAACTACTATAGTAGTAGCAGCAATAACAACAGCAACAATAGCAACAACAGCAGTAACAGTAATAATAGTAATAGCAGCAGCAATAATAATAATAATAATAATAATAATAATAATAATAATAATAATAATAATAATAATAATAATAATAATAATAATAATAATAATAATATAAGCATTAAGCTTATAGTATTTTAATTAATTTTATTATATAAAGCTAAGACATAAAATAAGGCTTGTATTTTTTATAATGCTACTATTACTATAACTAACTAAGCTAGCACTAATATTAATTCTGTTCTACATATAGAACAGCAGCAGCTAGCTCTACTAGCTTATAGTCTATAGGCCTATGTATTACTAGCCCTTTGAAAGCAGAATGTAAAGTTTATATATAGTAGTATATTCTCTTATTAAATAGCTTTATATAGGCCTTTATATATTAACACTATTTTTATATAATTATATAAAAAGGTAGTAGACAACCTGTGCAGCACATGCTATAGCGCTGTCTTAGGCTTATAACTGTTCCTAGAGTGCTGCTGCGCTAAGGGGCACTTTAGTAAAGCATATAGTAATTATAAATAGCGTAACTATACTAGTTACTACTTTGTAAAAAAAAAAAAAGTAATAATATGCTAGCTAGTAAACTTTATATTTAGGCTATAACTTAAAGATTAGTAGTGCTAGTAATAGTTTATAGTAGTAGCTTATTTTTATTAAAAATAAACTTACTAAAGCTTTAGCTTAAAGTATGTATAATATTTTATTTAAAAGTAGTAAAGCGCTTTAGCTATAAAAGTTATTTATAGCACTTGACTATATAAAGATGTTTATAGCACTTAGTTAAAGCTTATACTTTTATGTAGTAACTAGAATAAGTAGTTATTAAATAGTAAAACTAAACTAAACTAGTATATAAAAAAAAATAAAAAAAATAATTATATAAAACTTACTACTGTTTAATACTATAAAGCTAATAAGGCACTTAAGAATTAACGTTAAATAGCTAAAATAGAGCTTATTTATAATTATATAAAAGCTTAATTTTTACTTAACTTTCTTTTTTTTTTCTAACTTTTTTTTCCCCTTAACTTTAGTCTACTTAGTAAAAAGTTTATATACAAAGATTTTATTCTAAGTTACTATAGTTACCTTATATACTAAGTATAAAGTTTTACTTTAGTTGCTTTTTTAAAGTATTTACTTTTTAGTAAGTTTTTAATTATATAATAATTCTTAGCACGTTTTAAAAGATATGTAATATAGTTTTTACTAATATTTATAATAAAATATAACGTACTTCACGGGCGAGTTGCTTACACACCTGATGTAAGGACGGGGCTCCGCACCACTCCGCCAATACAACCAAAAGGTACAAATAATCAACCAAGGTTGATTTTCGGGTGCAGAATAGTATATATACCCGTCGCATGTAAGCACCAAATGTAAGGCCGAGATGGTGCTTACATGCGACGGGTATATATACTATTCTGCACCCGAAAATCAACGTTGGTTGATTATTCGTACCTTTTGGTTGTATTGGCGGAGTGGTGCGGAGCCCCGTCCTTACACCTGAGTCGCTTACTTTTGCTAAGACCCCACTAAACTACCCTTCCTACACTAATGCATTCCCCACAACACTACTTAGACGCGCTAAAAGAATGTTAGATACAGCTTACGCTCTAAGCTTTTAAATAACGTGTTTTATCAGTAAGCTGCGGACATCAGTAAGCTGCGCACCCCACCAAACCGCGCGAAACCGCGTCCACACCTTTAACTATGGCTTGACAACCACAAGCTCAATCTCTAGCAAAAGAAGGCAGACTTTAGCTTGCTCTTGTCTTAATTAAGTCTAACCCTTGTCTATCAATTCGTGCAGCTGCTGCAGCCTATGACGTACCAGAATCCACCCTCCGAACGCGCCTCCGTGGTATCCTCCTAAAACGCGAGACAATCTCGGTCAACCGCAAGCTATCGCCTATCGAAGAGCAGTTGCTTGTCTCCTGGATCCTAGATCTTAACTGACGCGGCTTTCCACCCTATATTATTGACGTGCGTTGAATGGCGAACGTTCTGCTTCAAGCTCGTCGCCAAGATCCTCCACTAACGCCTGTAGGCAAGTGCTGGGTATCGCGCTTTGTTAACAGCCAGGCAGAGCTTCAGACAAAGTGGGACAGGAAGATACACTCCCAGCGCGCTCTCTGTCAGGATCCAGTCAAGTTTAGAGCCTGGTTCAAGCTAGTAGAGGACACGCGTCAGACGTACGGGATACTAGACGAGGATACCTACAATTTTGATGAGACAGGATTTATGATAGGGGTCGCTAGCACGTCTAAGGTTGTTACTAGCTCTGAGACTGTTGGTTAAGCAGTTACTGTACAGCCTAGCAATCGCGACTGGGTCACCACAATCAAGTGTATCAACGCGTCTGGCTGGTCGCTCCCACCGCTCATTATCTTGCATGGAAAGCTCCACCAAGCTAGCTGGTATTGTGATATCCCCGGCGACTGGACGCTCGCAGTGAGCGATAACGGCTGGACGACTGACCACCTTAGCCTAGCCTGGCTTAAGCACTTTGACAAGCAGACGAGGACGCGTACAGCAGGAATCTATCGCCTGCTTATAGTAGATGGCCACAGCAGCCATGCGACGCCTGAGTTTGATCAGTACTGTACAGAGAACAAGATTATTAGTCTCTGTATGCCAGCTCACAGCTCCCATCTCCTACAGCCTCTAGATGTTGGCTGTTTTGCGCCTCTCAAGCGAGCGTACGGACACCAGGTGTTAGAGCTCGCTCGCAATTAGATCTTCTATGTTGACAAGCAAGACTTTCTTAGAATCTATAAGCATATTAGGCCTATAGTATTCACAAAGCAGACAATTAAGAGCGGCTTTCAAGCAGCAGGTTTAGTCCCACACTGTCCTAATCACGTCTTGTCGTCGCTTACTGTCGTCCGTACACCGTCTCCACCAGCGCAAGAAGCTAACAGTGAGACGCGCTGGACTGCAGAGACGCCTCATACAGTCGCTCAGCTGCAGCAGCAGGCTCAACTAATCCATAACCGCCTTAGTTGTCAATCGCAGAGCCCTACTAGCCAGGCAATAGCTCAGCTTGTTAAAGGATGTTAGATGGCGATGCACTCAGCGACAATCCTTACAGAGGAGAACACCAAGCTGCGTCAGGCTAACCATTGCCGAGAGCAGAAGAAGCAACAGCGACGGCAGTATATTGCTACAGGAGGGACTCTCACAGGCCAGGAAGGTCAGAGGCTGGCTGCAGAGGCTGATAGGTTGGTTGAGGTGGATGCGCAGGCTCAGGCATCGCGGGCATATCAACGAGCACCACCAACCTGCTCAAGGTGCCATGTACAAGGCTATAAAAGGAATCAATGTAGAAGCAATTAGGAATATTTTATATATATACTTATATAGGTTTAATTCAGTTGCTGTTCAGTTATCCGTCAAAGAGGCGCGCGCGGTTTGGTGGGGTGCGCAGCTTACTGATGTCCGCAGCTTACTGATAAAACACGTTAAGACATAAAACTCTTAAAGAAATGTGCTGTAGCTATGTATAAAGTTTTATAAAAGATAATAAATAACTATAGCGCTAGACAACCTTTACAAGCTAATTCTACAGCTAAATTATAAAGGCTAGGCAATAAAAAGGAGCAGGTGATTGTTAAGACTATACTTAAGCTATATGCGCAAGGAATTTCCCCTTAGATAGCATTTATAGCTAATATAGCTAATTCTTTACGCGCTAAGCATAATCTAGGCTATGTTTATATAAACTAGCCTAGTACATTTATAAAGCGTTATTTAGAGCTTAAAGTAAAGTTTTAAGCGCAGGTATAGTTAAAAGATATTTAGCTAATTATAAACCCTGTCTTGCTAAAGTTGTACGTGTTATTATTCTAGATGCTATACTTAGCTTTAATATTCTCTAT